CTCCACAACAAAATGGAGTCATTGAACGCAAGCATCGCCATATTCTCATTGTAGCGCGTGCCTTGCGTTTCCAATCCCACTTACCTCTTACTTTCTGGGGTGACTGTGTCTTGACCGCTGTTTATCTCATTAACCGCCTACCCTCCCCACTATTATCCACCAAATCCCTTTTTGAACTACTGTACAATCATCCACCATCATTCGATCACTTGAGAGTTTTTGGTTGCCTCTGTTATGCAACGGTTGTGCAGCCTATTCATAAATTTGACCATCGTGCTCAACGTTGTATCTTTGTTGGATACCCCAATGGTCAGAAAGGTTACAAACTTTACAATTTAGAGACCAAAATTTTTTTTGTAAGTTGCGATGTCAAGTTTTGTGAAAATACCTTTCCTTTTTCCCAAATTCCTAACCCCAATGCTCCCAGTTTTGTGCAACCCCACTTTCCACCTTCTAGCCCTGATGACGCTGACCACTGGGCCCAGCACACCCAACCCACTGAGCCAAGCCCACTAGAGCCAACCCAGCCAAGCCTCACCCAACTAACCGCACCTGACGCGCCTCCAGTCACGTCACCCCATGCCCTCATGCCTGACGAACCTGCCACTCTTGATAGCCCTATCCGACCCATGTCACCCCAACCCCCCTCACCGGTCCCCCATTCCAGGCGATCTTAACTCACCTTTTTCACCCACTCCAGAATTCTCTCTACTGCCTAACTCTCCTGCCAATCCCACTCCTTCTATTCCCCTTCCCCGCCAGTCACTTCGTCCTAAGCAATCTCATGTATGGCATAAAGATTACCACTTGTCCAACCAAGTCAGTCACTCAACCTCGACGCTTTGTTCTGCATCAGGTACTCAATATCCACTCTCTCACTTCCTTTCATACTCTCGTTTGTCTTTTGCACATTCTGCTTTTCTTGCTAACATTTCAAGTCACTCCGAACCCACATCATATGCTCAGGCTATCCTTGATCCAAATTAGCAACAGGCCATGACTACAAAATTAGAGGCTTTGCAACACAATAACACTTGGAGTTTGGTTCCTCTACCCATTGGTCATAAACTGATTGGCTACAAATGGGTTTACAAAATCAAATACAAGTCTGATGGCACCATTGAGTGTTATAAAGCTCACCTTGTTGCCAAAGGATACACTCAAGTTGAGGGCATTGACTACCAAGAAACCTTTTCTCCTACTGCCAAACTCACTACCCTTCATTGTCTGCTGACTATTGCTGTTGCCTATCATTGGTTCATCCATCAACTGGACGTTCAGAATGCCTTTCTTCATGGCGATTTGCATGAAGTGGTCTACATGGAACCTCCTCCTGGTCTTCGCCGACAAGGGGAGAACACTGTATGTCAGCTCAACAAGTGCCTCTATAGACTCAAACAGGCTTCCAAAAACTGGTTCTCCACTTTTTTAGACACCATCCAGAAAGCTGGTTATCAACAATCAAATGCTAATTACTCTCTTTTCACCAAAGCTCAAGGCATTTCATTTACTGCAGTACTTATCTATGTTGACGACATACTTATCACATGCAATAATCTTCAAGAAATGGAACATCTCAAAACATCCCTTCTCAAACGCTTCCGCATCAAAGATCTTGGAAATTTGAAATATTTTTTGGGTATTGAATTCTCCCGTTCCAAGAAAGGTATTTTTATGTCTAAGAGAAAATACATACTAGATATTTTGCAAGATTCAAGACTTCTGGGGGCACGCCCAAACAAGTTTCCAATGGAACAGAATTTGAAACTTACTCCCACAGATGGAGAACTACTGCATGATCCAACTAAGTACAGAAGACTAGTTGGTAGACTGATTTTGCTCACTGTCATAAGGCGTGACATAGCCTCTTCTGTTCGAACATTGAGTGAATTCATGCATCAATCTCGAAAACCTCATTGGGATACTGCCTTATGAATCCTCAAATATATCAAAGGTACTCCTAGTCAAGGCTTATTATTTCCTGCCTCTAACAATCTTGCCTTGAAAGCTTTTTGTGATTCAGATTGGGGAGGTTGCCGTGCCACAAGGAGGTCGGTTACAGGATATTGTGTTTTTCTTGGAAATGCCCTTATCTCATGGAAATTCAAGAAACAAGCTAATGTCACCAGATTATCAACAGAAGCTGAATATCGAGCTATGGTTAATACTTTTTTGGAGCTAACTTGGTTGCGCTACATATTACAGGATTTAAAGGTCCCACAAACAGCTCATGTGCCATTATTTTGTGATAATCAAGCAGCTTCGTATATTGCAGCAAATCCTGTTTTTCATGAACGTACAAAGCACATTGAAATAGATTGTCACATAGTTCGAGAAAAACTGCAAGATGGAATGATTAGTCCTTCATATGTACCTACACACTTCCAGCTGGCAGATGTGTGTACAAATTACAAAGGCCTTGGGAAAGGATCAATTTGTGACACTACGGGACAAGTTGGGTCTTCATGATATTCACTCTCCAACTTAAGGGGGAGTATTACGAAATATTACTGTAATATATTTACTTTCCTGTATTATCCTAGATCAAATCCCACCTAAAGTGGGTCACGGCTTCTAAGCCTAGGAAATAGGAATTGTGCATGTATATATATCTTGGTCTGTAGACCTTTGTCAATACAACGTGAATATTCAAACAAATATCTTATTTCTTGATATCATGGCCGTCCAAGTTATAGATGGGTCATCAAAGACAGGGTCAAGTTCAAGCACCACCCTTGATTCCAATTTCCTGTTTTCTTGTGCACCCATGTTTCTAATAAATGGCCGTGCCAAAGGAATGTTAGGCCTTTGAAGGACTCAGAAATCAATGGCCTCACAAATCACTGCCAATTTCAGCTCCAAATTGCAATTCATGCTCTGCCTATCTTCATCAAATGGGGTCATATTACACAACAAATGGCCACTTTGGTTCTGAAATTTCCAAATCACCCATACACACACCCCTCATCACCAACAAAGTTGGCTCAAACTCACAACATGAGTATTTTATCAACTTGAAGTCCATTAAAATCAGTGGCAAGAGATTATCTCTAAACAAAGGAGGGTTTTAGAGAAGGGCTTAAGCGAAGCACAACTGTTCCTTACACTACCATGGAGAGCTTAGTTTATGTTACATTTACCAGAGCTCATGAGCAGGCAGCTATGGCCTATGATTTTTTCTTTTCTTTTCTTTTTTTTTTTGGCTTTTTCTGGTTTTGGTTTGTTTTATATAGCAAAAGATTAAGACCCACTCGTGCTATTTATTTCTTTATTTTAAGAGAACATGAACAGTCTGATAATTCTTAAGTACATAATATATTTTCTTTATGAATAATAAGCAATTCCTAAGTTAGCGTACTGAGATCATGCACAGAGCATTTTGGTGCAAGAGTAAATTGTTAAAAATAAAAATAAAATAAAAAGCCAGAAAAGAACTTTGCTCCCAACATATATCAAAATAGCAACAATGCGCAAGCAGCAGGAAAAACAAGACCCTAAAATGGCAATAAGGCAGAGGCAAACTACAACAAAAATAAAGACCACCATTACAAAGGATTATGACCAACCGAAAACAAATAACTAAATAAAGGAGAGATAACAAGCAAGCTACACCAACTGGGGGACTGCCCTTCCTTCCTTCCTTCTTCTTCCAGCACCAAGAGCCAGGCCACTTTCTTCCCTTTTCCAACCCTGCCCAAATCTTTCTCTTCCATTCCATACCATGGGTGTGCTGCAGTTATTCCAAGTTTGCCTCGGTTGTGCTGTGGTTATTACAGGTGTGCCATATTGTAAATTTCTAGAGTCTTCCTATATAGGACGGACAAGTTGGGTCTTCATGATATTCACTCTCCAACTTAAGGGGGAGTATTACGAAATATTACTGTAATATATTTACTTTCCTATATTATCCTAGATCAAATCCCACCTAAAGTGGGTCACGGCTTCTAAGCCTAGTAAATAGGAATTGTGCATGTATATATATCTTGGTCTGTAGACCTTTGTCAATACAACGTGAATATTCAAACAAATGTCTTATTTCTTGATATCATGGCCGTCCAAGTTATAGATGGGTCATCAAAGACAGGGTCAAGTTCAAGCACCACCCTTGATTCCAATTTCCTGTTTTCTTGTGCACCCATGTTTCTAATAAATGGCCGTGCCAAAGGAATGTTAGGCCTTTGAAGGACTCAGAAATCAATGGCCTCACAAATCACTGCCAAATTCAGCTCCAAATTGCAATTCATGCTCTGCCTATCTTCATCAAATGGGGTCATATTACACAACAAATGGCCACTTTGGTTCTGAAATTTCCAAATCACCCATACACACACCCCTCATCACCAACAAAGTTGGCTCAAACTCACAACATGAGTATTTTATCAACTTGAAGTCCATTAAAATCAGTGGCAAGAGATTATCTCTAAACAAAGGAGGGTTTTAGAGAAGGGCTTAAGCGAAGCACAACTGTTCCTTACACTACCATGGAGAGCTTAGTTTATGTTACATTTACCAGAGCTCATGAGCAGGCAGCTATGGCCTATGATTTTTTCTTTTCTTTTCTTTTTTTTTTTGGCTTTTTCTGGTTTTGGTTTGTTTTATATAGCAAAAGATTAAGACCCACTCGTGCTATTTATTTCTTTATTTTAAGAGAACATGAACAGTCTGATAATTCTTAAGTACATAATATATTTTCTTTATGAATAATAAGCAATTCCTAAGTTAGCGTACTGAGATCATGCACAGAGCATTTTGGTGCAAGAGTAAATTGTTAAAAATAAAAATAAAATAAAAAGCCAGAAAAGAACTTTGCTCCCAACATATATCAAAATAGCAACAATGCGCAAGCAGCAGGAAAAACAAGACCCTAAAATGGCAATAAGGCAGAGGCAAACTACAACAAAAATAAAGACCACCATTACAAAGGATTATGACCAACCGAAAACAAATAACTAAATAAAGGAGAGATAACAAGCAAGCTACGACATCTATATCTTGCGTAAGTTTGAAAATGACTCTGCCTTGGTAGTGGCAATTGAGAACTGGAAAAATTATGATACACATATGGGAAGAAAATACAAACAAAAGAGCAGTGCAAGAATCAGGATCTATATCAGTATTTTACATCCTCTTCAAATTGCACATTGGAGAGCGTTCCCACCAACTAGGGAACGCTAAATTGATTTACATCTAATGATCTAATTTTTATATCAATGTATGAGATGAAACATAATAATAAAACGTGAAAACCAATTTAAAGTGTCAAAGTGTTAACAAAAAACTATAATATTGATATCAATGTATGAGATGAAACATAATAGTAAATCGAAAACCAATAAAAACTGCCAAGTGTTGAAGTAAGTAAATGAGGAGCAAAATGGATTTTCCCATGGAGAATTGTGCACAGCATATGGACTCGAGGTGTGGATTTTATTGTTTTTCATTTGCCTCTACGCTAGTTTCCTTCAACTACAAGACACCCATTTAAATACTTGCCTAAGAACAAGGCCTTAGGTTAGTTTATAAGGTTGAAAAACAAAAACAACAGAAATCTAGGGCTCAAGTTTTGTTCTTTTTCTTGATCTTAATCTCAAATGCTATATAAATAGGGCTATAGTGAATTAAAGCTTCTAATTACATGCTACTTGTTAAAGAAATTTCTATCATGTAACTTGGAGTAAGAAATGGAAACTGAACTGGCTCAGCCACTTTTCCTAGGTATCTAGTTCTTCAGCCATTTACTGAAATATGTACTGCATGGTACAGAATCTCTTGTTATGGTTTAAATTGGAAAGGCAAAAAACTCGTTTTCGGTCATTTTAAACCTTCATCCTCTTTCCGTGTTCTTTTTTGGGTTTAAGCTTGGGAGGTGGTGATTGCAACACCCTCATCTTGCCAGCAAAGAGAAGGAACAAAAGGAGGGGCACCAATCAGGTGCGTGCAGAAGTTAAATTACTAGTTGTTTTATTTTCTGCTGTATTCAAATTAAATATTCCCTGAATCTGATTATCCAGGATTGTGAAAAACTCAATAAAAGAAAAGCAACAATGATTAGCAAATCCCAGCAAAGGAAGCTGAAGAAGTTGGAGGTGCGTGACTGTATTGATAGGTCAAAAACTCAATGCATTTTTGTTTCATTGTTCTCTTAACTTGACTTGGAATTGTTTGCTTTTCATTTCTCAAGGAGGAGAAGGAAAAATCCCTTTCCATGGGCTTGTCCAATATAGATCCCTACATTTTCTATTTCCTAGACATATACCCATCACTCTATAAATCTATGTGTAAAACCCAATTTCAAATTTAAATGACCAGTAGGATATAAGAGGTCGTAGTATTCCTAGGTTTTTACATCGTTGCCACCAAACTTCATATTTTATTTATAATTTATTTCAAGCATTTCATTAACTATCATAATTGTAATTAACACTTCCTATTAATAGCATATCAATCACCTCATTTCTTTTGGTTGCCATTCCCTCTCACATACCGCCCCCTAAAATTGCAAACCAAAAAAAATGTCTGTAAATTACATATCCAATAATGTACCTATGAAAAATATAAATATAAATATATTATTTAAATAAAATATAGGTATATTATTTACAAAAAAAAAAAAATTTTAAAAAAACTAAGTCAATTACTTTGTAATTGAAATTTCCGTACATTTTTCATAAATTAAAAATAGGTACACAATAATTTATAGAAAATATAGGTACATTATTTACCCATAGGTAAATTATTTTACAATATACCTATAAATGTGTATAGGTACATTATTTAGAGAGGAAAAATGGGTTCAGTTAAAAAAATACGTACATTGTTTTACTAGGTACATTATTAGAGGAAAAAAATAGGTACATTATTTGGAGAGAGAAAATAGGTTCATTTAAAAAAAACTTTAATAAAAACCATGATAAACAGTGTCATAGGAAAGAAAAAACCAATTGAGGATTTAATCTCTGCCCAGCAGCAACTCTAGCTCCAGGTCTTGTCTTCTTCTCTCTAAAACTCTCTCTCGTGCCTTTGTAGTCTATGGTCTCCCAATAATCCTCCGAACTCCTCGGGCTTTAGGTTAAAGCTCAGTATTTATAGGCCAAAGGAATTCTCCAAAAGAGAAAGAGAAATAATAATTGATTAGGAAGTAGATGAATAGTAGGAAAGCCCCAAAAATAAAACCCAAACTGAGAAGGAAAAATAGAGATAGCTGGCAGCTGAGGAAGAGTTGGGACTTAACCAAGTCAAATAAGGAATCTGACTTTGTGGAGAGAAAAGATGCGGCTTCAGGTAAAAGATGCAATTGGTTGGCTTTGTGAGAAGAAAGTGGCTGAGAATGAAATTAAAATCTCCAATTCAAAGGAAAGTGCGGCTTAGATAACACTTGCAATTCAAAGGAGACCAGCCCATTAACACACTTTTCTCCAAAAGCAAGTGACGGTGGCAGCTTAGGTGATCAGCAATTGTCTCAACAATTGCAAAGTCAATTAGCTTTCAATGTTGACAATATTTCAATCTCATGCATAATGCTTTCTTTCCTTTCAGACCATCTCTTTATTTTGTCATCTAATGTCTCAGCAAATGCTCAACTGACGCAAACCACGTTGGCTTCCATATCAGCAATTGGCATTGGGTTGTTCTTCAAGCGGCCGGAAACACAGCAGCGTGATGGTAAATCTTCTAATTCAATCTCTCTGGCACTGGTCACTGAGACCAGTTGTGGGTATAAATTGACACTTGCACAGATGCACTCCATGTGTTTGATGAAATGACAGAGTGAATTCTTGATACTTTGTTGAGTTGATAATTCCACCCATTTGGATCCCTTAAGCTTCCAAAATTATAGTTTTTCCTCCAAAGCCTTGCTAAGTATGATTTCCTACAAAATCTTCACCAATCACATTAAACTAACCAATTTCACACAAAAACTATGCAAATAGAGATAGATTATATATGCAAAATATGAATCTATCAAGAGGCGAGACGAGGAAGTGAGGGTGGAAGGCGAGGAGAGAGCGGAGGAAGGCGGGGTCGGAGGAGATGGCCTTAGAGAACTGAGAGAGGGCGTAGGACACGTGGACGCTGGAGATTGGGGGTTGGAGAAGCAGAGCAAGCAGACGGAGCCGCCTTCCGCCATGCTTGGTTAGGAGGAAGAGCGTGGATCTGTGGCTCTCTGAGCACGTTGTAGTGTAATCTTCTTCTTCTTCTTCATGGTAGTACTAGTCTCTGAGGAGCCCCTGTTTCCACCATATTAAGACGACAGGGTCAAAACAAATTTAATACAATTATTTTTTTTCCTCAATTTTAGGGATTATTCTTCTACTCCTACGATAATACCGCAATCCAAATCCTAATAAACTAGCCACTCCTTCTCCCCAAAGAAAAATAAATGTGAATTGATTTGGATTGATCAACTCCTCTTTGAAGAAGATTTTGGAGTGGGGAATGCTATAAATTAACCTTAGCATTCTAGTCTTTGTATCCATTAATTTCTCCGACTATTTATTGCTTTTTTTCAGCCATGTTTGCAACTGAAAGTTCAGACGTCAAGAATACAAGTCATCGTTGCGAGAAGATATGTATCGGGTTGTTGTGCCTGTTGTTCATTGCTGGTGCTTACACCATTTTCTTTATCCGGATGAGAGGGTACACAGACCCCAAATTCAGCGTCAACGGTGCTTATCTTAATCGAGTCAATAATTATACCGAAATCAATCATACTCTCCCCTACAATCTCGTCCTCAACATCACCCTCACAAACCCTAACAAGAAAGTCGACTTTGAGTGGAGTGACACCCAAGTCATTGCATACTATCACAATGAGAGATTTGGTCTTGTGACTTTGATCGATAGGTGGACATCCATTCACCAAGACCCCAAGAACACAACTATTTTTCAGAATGTCCTTATTCAAGGGTGGAAGCCTCTGCTGTTTGAGGAACATGTGCTTCCCAATGTTACTTACCATTACCGTATTGACCTAGTGATTGCTTTCCATGACAATATTCATCAATCGTTTGCCGAGGTCATGTGCAACCTAACTGTTCCACTGAATTTTAATGTAACATCTTGTGATGGTTTCAACACAACAAAGTTAAGGAGGAGCTCCTCCTTAATAATTTTAATCATTACTTTCAATTTTCTCCTTGTGCCTTACTTCAAATAGGTTCTTTGATTAATGTTTATTTATTTATTTATTTATTAAGAAAGTTTGTGCTTTCTCCTTAAATTTTTATTTTTATTTTCTTACCTTTAATCCGTTATATTTATTTATTTATTTATTTTTTATGGACAACCATATAGCCCATCGAGGCCAACTCGAACGAAACCATATAGGGCTGAATTAGAAACAGATGACCAACGGTGGAGGAATATGATCTCTTTAACCATGCAGGCTTGATACCGAACTGCATGAACTTTTTTATCTCCTACAGATGACCCGGAACTTCCTCTAATGCGTTTGGCAACCCTATCTGCCCAACCAGCGCATGTAGCCTAGGAGCTCTTCCTCATACAATAATAGAGGATTCTTATCATGGGAAACCCTCCAAACATGGCATTCCCTAAAGGTGTCAGTCTTCCATTGCTATCAAGTGCTTGAAGGATCTTCAAGCAACGCTCAGCTTCATCCAAGGCAGCACCCTCTGGAGGAGTTGGAAATGGAAAATTGGATACCTGGGATAGACACAAAAAAAAGGTCATATACTATAACAGCAGTCCAGACGTAAAAGATGACACACAAGATCTCTAAATAACATAATGTTAACAAAATAGAGCATACTTTCAGGTGAAACAAGCCAACGCTGCCCAAGAACTTAGTAAGAACCATCCAAAACCATGAACATTAGAAGATGAATGATACATCTACAAGCACTAAGACTCAAAAATCAACAGGTTCAGAACCCCAAACCTAACCCCAATGAGATCAGTATTGTCAATTTTACGTATAGTCAGTGGGCTGCACATGAAAATCTTGTGAAGTTAAACTATATCACCACCACCCAAATCAAGCTACTGAAAGAAAACTTCAAAATGTTTAATTGCATATTAATAGCTTAAAGTTTGGCCAGGAGACATTTTGGACCCACCTTATCAATATTCATGGATTTCATGTAAAGTACAACACCATCAACAGGGACTTTAGATATTTCAGCCAGAGAAAAGTCAGGAAATATGTTACTATATGCTGCAGAAGAATACAGACGGTAACAGTATCCAGGCCCGGTTCTTCCAGCTCTTCCTGCACGTTGAGCAGCTGATGCCTTACTTATCCACTGTACTTCATATGTTTCCATGCCATTTGAGGAATTGTACCTTTTCACTTTCTCTCTTCCAGTATCGACAACGTACTTTATCCCAGGTATAGTTAAAGATGTTTCAGCCACATTGGTGGCCACAACAACGAGCCGTTCTCCTTCCCTGACTTCTTCAAATACACGAAGCTGATCTTTCGCATGGAGCATGGCATAAAGAGGGAGAACATGCAATGTACCTGGAGAAGTATTCTCTTCAACTCCACTCTTTTTTCCCATGCTAGGATTGGATTGGTTGTGGCAAGCTTTTGGAGTAACTGAAATAGGTTGTTTCTCATCAGAGAATTGAAGTTAAATGAAGTTTTTGCGTCTCAAGCTTCAAAAGCGGCCTTCAGTGCAGTAATGCCCCCTTCCTCTCCTAAAAGATTTTCAACATCACCATCAATTTCTGGGCTAGCTTGGATCAATGAGTCGCCATAGTCACCAATAATTCCAGTTCATTCTCTGCTTCTGAATCATATGAATCATCCAACTCATCGTCATCTATATCAAACTGATCTTCATCATTATAGCTAAATCTGTCAGTTTGATGGTCAGCCGAATTTCCATGAACCTCAAATGCTTCATTGATCTCCTTCATGTCTATTTCCTCAGTAGAACTTCTTTCAGAAACTTCAGTGACATCACTCCTAATATCCCCTTCAGATGTTTTTTTAAACTGTTCCTTTGAAACCCTACGTAGCTTTCGACACAAATACTCTAATTCCCTTCATTGATTGCTACTTTTAGCAATTAAATACTTTTAGGCAATTAAATACTTAAATACATGCAATTGATTTTCGTATATTACATAATTTTCATTTGGACTCTTCAAAAACACTTGTAATCAGATTTGAGGCCTCCAAATGCCAAACTATTAAAATTATTCTCCTCTAAATATATATATATATATATATGGGGCGGATCCGTGGCACTATTTTTTTGACACAAATTTTACACATTTAGATTAACCCACTATCTATGGATGAGATTAAAATCTAAACTAATTCCTTCTTTTTTAAATTATTATAAACTGAAATTAATTTTAATTAAATTCACCATTCTATTTTCTCTCGCTTCATTTATATTTTCACATTCTCCTATAAGAAAATTGCAATTGTGAGATGAAAAAATCATTTATTTCCCACTGTGGAAATTTTTTCCTTTCCCCATTCTCCTTATCCTCCTCCTCTTTCATTTGCAACCCAAACTTGAAACATAAGGAAAGTAGGACAAAATTTTGATAAGGAAGAGTGTTTCGTGAAGGTTTTTATGGTTCATATCATTTTTCTTTAGGGAAATGATTAAGAGAAGCCCACTTTTACAAAACTAAAATGCTATGTGAATCTTTTTAATCTGTACATCTTAGATTATAGGTTTCCCATAAGATATCACTGCGATTGGGGATGAGATTTTGGCGAATAGATACAACATAAAGAGGAAATCATAGCAAAAACAAAACAAAGATTATTATTATTATTTTTATACCAGTCCAAATTGAGGATAATTGAATAAAATATTAGAGCCCCAGCCAAAGAAATCGAAGGAACCTCATAAACCCATTCATGGCCGCCAATACAAAGCATATGTCTTTAGACTTTATATTGCTTGTTCTCAAGACTTTCCATATGAAAGATAGATCTGAGTTTTCTTTTTTGTTCTTGTTTTTTGATTGATTAAGTTGGATTGTTTCTAAGAAGAATGAGATTAATTATTGTTTATTGCGAATTTTATTGAGAGTGATTTTTATTGGCACATTAAAGTTACCTAGAAAAGTGGGGAATTTGACAACAACAAAAAAGAAAAAGAAAAAAAAGTGGGGAGTTTAATATTTTATTATTCATTAATTTGTAAATTAAATAGTGAATTCACGTGTAATCTTAACGGTTGAAAGTGCTTCATTCAAAGGTTATAAAATTATGTCAAAAACATAGTGCCACGGATCCGCCCCATATATATATATGATTTGGGGCCCTACAAATACGAGGCCCGTGGCCATCGCCCCCCTTGCACACCCTTAAAGCCGGCATTGAATGTAACTTGGCTAAAGCGACTTGAATGTTTGACCTACAAATCATTGCCTATAATAGATGGTGGGAAAACTGAACAATGACATACTTATGGTGTGTTTGTAAGACCCGGACAATCTAACACGCAACCATAGTATAGTGTGACTTGCACCATGTCAAGACTGTAAACGAGACAAGGTGTGGTCAGCTTTTAAATTAGCCAAGAATTTTGGCCCTGTACCAGTGTGGATGAAGCAAGCAATAATATACTTATGGATGGTCTTGCTTAAACCCAACATTAAGAAAAAAAAATGGAAGAATTACGGCCATTGGATGCAAAGGTGAATGGGGCGAGGACAAGAGACATCAGTTTTGTTATAGAAATTTAATATATAAACGTAAAATGAACAGAAAAATTCTCTTGGTTAGGTCTCAAAGGTAGTGTGGATCATATAGGAAGCCAATTTGTAGTCTTGCTTTCTCTTTTTGGCTCATTTGATGCTTCTTTTTCAATTGTTTTTCATCAAACACCATAAGGGCACAAGCAAAGGGCCAACTTCGGGCATCTCCAAAGCTTTTTTCCGGTGAAAGGAGGTGCCTTACGCCTCTGGAAATTTTTTCAGGATTACGGTTGATATTTGGTTTGGCTAGGATTGAATTAAGTTGTTTTTAATTTGAATTACTTTTTTTTTATAAACATTCTTATGTAGGAATACTTTAGGGTATGGTATATTCATAAATTTTTAAGAATATTGGTGTTTACGGTTTTGCATATTTTAATGAGGCTCAATATAGACTTGGTCAATGACCAAAATGTTGGGAAAGTCTCTCGTATAACAGCTGTTGAATAAGGACCCATTTTTATTTATTACTTGATTTTTATGATTATTTTACTCTTGATGCTAAATAATGGAAACAATAATTTTTTTCAGAAAAATTAATGAAAACAAATTACAATTGTTTTTTTTTTCTTTTTCTTACACTGGCTCTTGGTCAGTTTCTGACATACAGGATTCGGCGCAGATTCTAAAGTGGAATTTGGGTCGGATCCTGTTAATTTGGTATTAGAGCATTAGGTTCAAATTCCTGTGGAATTCGCACCTTGTGTGTATCCTTAGGCTTTGGCAGTGTGGTATGTTCTGATGTGGAATAATGCCTCTCCGACGCAAAAAGCGTCACAAAAACATAGTGAACTTTATGTTCGGGGTTGCAGAAGTCAATTGTGAATCGTGGCAAACCAAAGCGAAAAGTGACGGTGTTTTGGGTAAGGTGTTACTTTATTCGTGTGGGCTTTAATGCCGCAAATGACAGGAGTAGAGATTATTGGATGCACTTTTATGCACGCATAAACTGTGTCTAGTGTGTCCAACCACGTGGCTAGGTCTTCACTCATTTTATCAAGGACAGAGAGCTTAGTAATAGATTGTTCACTTGTAAAGGTTAAGGACATCGCCGATGAGTAGTGACTAGATGAATTTGGTAACCTTATCGCAGGAGATAGAAAGCCTCTTATACATACAGATGGAACTTGATTCATATAAAAGAAAAATGGAGTGCTCTAGAGAAGAAAAAACGACCAATCTTTCGACAAACTTCCTTTCTTTCTTTTTGTTTGTAAGCTGAATTTAATGTACTTTGTCGAGCTTCTAAAGTAACATATCTATCCATTGGTCCTTTTGATTTATGTTGTGCTCTAAGAGCCTCATCAACTGCAGCACTCCTAGTACCAGGGATTCCATATTCTTCATCCAATGAAATTTCCATACTCTGAGCCCCTCCTCCTAGACCATCCCCAATCTCTCTAAACATTTCATTTTTCTTTCTTTTTTCAAGTTGAAAATTTTTCAAAGTTGCGGCACACTCTTTTTTCATATGCTCAGAAACTTTCTTACATGGTTGCATACCATGATAAGTTTGACTCAAATGATGCTTAAGTTTATAAATTCCTCCACTGCATTTTTGATCACAAAATGCGCATCTCAAGTATTTTTCCCCCTCTATTTCTTTTGCATACTTCCATGCATGATCTTTTCAATTCATAGCTATAAAACAACATCATTAATATTTCTAAGATACATATGATGCATGTACGTCAAATTTCAACTATATCACATAAACGAATAAAATAACTAATATATTGAAAACAAAAATTGAAAAAAAAATTATACAGAACTTCAGATTACAATTGTGAAAAATTATACATATGATGGAGATTATCTGGTAAGGGTAGAAATTAGGGTTGTACTTTATATATCCATATGTTAATATATTAATTTAGAAAAAAAAAAGAAGGAAAAAAAAAAAGAAGAAGAGGTAAGTAGAATAAAGCTATAACCGACTGGAGTTAGAAAAGGCAAGAAAGATATTAATTCTTCTTGCCTTAAGTTTATTACAAAAAAGAAAACAGAAACTTGCGTATTTTTTTCTTCAAAACACTCCAAGTGAAACGACGTCGTTTCATTTAAAGTTTTTTTAAAACACTACAATCGAAACGACGTCGTTTCATTACAATAAACCTAAAAGAATAACACGCGAGTCGTCTTCCTCGCGAAGTCATCTTCCTCGCAGAGTCGCAGCCTATTTGCAGACTCACAAAATTTCTTCCGGTTCAGAAGTGTCCAGACCTGGCTCGCCTTGCTCCGCCTCGCTCCACCTGGCCACGCCTTGCCACGCCTCCTCATGCCTTCCCCGCGCTAAATGTGCAACTCGCGAAACAGCTGACCGCCTTGGGCGATTTCCTGCCGCCTCGCTCCGACGCGCGCGAAGGCTTGCCTTTGAAAACACTGCTCAGCATGCAAGGCCATGCCTCCTCTGGTAACTTTGCAAAAGCCCTGGACTTTTTGAACTCAATGAGAAATGTGCCGGGCAAACCCACTGTGTATGATTTCAATGCTTTGCTTTACTCTTACTTAAAGTCACAAAGTGTATTATTAGAATATGTGGTTCAGGTTTACCATGGAATGGAAAGATTCGGGCCCACCCCAAAAAAACACTACAATCGAAACGACGTCGTTTCATTACAATAAACCTAAAAAGAATAACACGCGAGTCGTCTTCCTCGCGAAGTCATCTTCCTCGCAGAGTCGCAGCCTATTTGCAGTCTCACAAAATTTCTTCCGGTTCAGAAGTGTCCAGACCTGGCGCGCCTTGCTCCGCCTCGCTCCACCTGGCCACGCCTTGCCACGCCTCCTCATGCCTTCCCCGCGCTAAATGTGCAACTCGCGAAACAGCTGACCGCCTTGGGCGATTTCCTGCCGCCTCGCTCCGACGCGCGCGAAGGCTTGCCTTTGAAAACACTGCTCAGCATGCAAGGCCATGCCTCCTCTGGTAACTTTGCAAAAGCCCTGGACTTTTTGAACTCAATGAGAAATGTGCCGGGCAAACCCACTGTGTATGATTTCAATGCTTTGCTTTACTCTTACTTAAAGTCACAAAGTGTATTATTAGAATATGTGGTTCAGGTTTACCACGGAATGGAAAGATTCGGGCCCACCCCAAATGCTTCGACTTTCAATGTGCTTTTGAATGGTATGCTATCGCTTGGTCATCTAAAAGATGCTTTTGTGATTGCTGAAGATATGTTTGGGGGTGGGTTCTTACCCTCGTTTACTTCTTTGTCGAAAATCTTGAAAAAGATGCTTCAAGTTGGGGATTTAGTTAACTCAATTGGCGTTTTTAAGCTTATGTTGAAGTTGGAGTATTTTCCGACCGAACCCAGTTTGAGTTTGTTGATTTCTAAGCTTAGTAAAGCCAGGATGATCCAAGAGGTGTGGTTTGTATGCTATGCTCTTATGAGTAAGGGTCATTTTTTTGGTGCTTATGTCTATAACCCTATACTTTGGGCTTTATGTAAGTCTGGTCAGAGTTATAATGCTTTGGAATTGTATTATTGGATGAAGAGGAAGGGCATTGTACATAATGCGTGCTCTTATACTGCTTTAATTTATGGGTTTGGTAGAGAAGGTTTGTGGAGAGATCTTCTTGGTTGTTTAAATGAAATGGAGAGTGATGGATGTAAGCCTAGTGTAATAACATATACTATAATTATTAAGTTTCTTTGTGGTGAAGGGAGGATTGCAGGGGCATTAGAATTTTTGGCTAAGATGGAAAGGGAAGGATGCGAACCAGATATAACCACATACAATGTGATTCTTCATGAACTTTGTCTTCAAGATAGAGTGGACGAAGTCTTTCGCTTACTTGATATGATTGAGAACAAAGGATTTTCTCCCAATTCATACACATATGCTGCTTTGGGCGGAGGCCTGTTAAAAACAGGTAAGATTGGGATTGCTTGTGAACTATTGCTTGATGTGATTACAAGGGGCTGCTATGTGGATGTTGCTGTGTACAATATATACTTCCATTGTTTATGTCATGAGAATAGATCAAAAGAAGCACTGTATTTATTGAAGAAAATGATGGAAGAAGGTTTAATGCCTAGTAATGTGTCATTTAACACAATTTTAAAGGGTTTCTGTAGAGAAAATAACATTTCAAAGGCTTTGAAGCTCTTGGACTGCTTTAAGTGGGATGAAAATGGGCCTGATGTGATTTCCTTCAATACGATTTTGTCTGTGGCATGCAAACAGAAAAAGCATTCCATGATCCAGAGGGTATTGAATCGTCTGAAGAATGGAGGTGTTCAGCCTAATGCTGTTAGTTTGAATTGTTTGATTCAGTACTTTTGTAGGGTTGAAAAATTTTCAGACTGTTTGAAGCTCTTGGATTACATGACGTGCAATGGTTCTAGTCCCACTATTGTCACTTTTAATGTGCTGCTAGGCAGCCTTTGCAAGAATGGTTTAGTTGGAATTGCACAACAGGTTTTTAAGCATCTCAGAAACACTGGATTTTTCCCTGATACAACTTCTTATAATATTCTTATTCACGCCTTCATAAGAGAGGGCAATAAGGTGATGGTTAATCAATTGGTTAATGACATGTACAGCCAAGGACTAAAACCAGATCTCTTTACCTATGGGTCCTTAATTAGTAGCCTCTGCAAGGAAGGAAAGGCATCTGTTGCTCTTAAGCTGAGGGATGAAATGGTAGAGAATGGGCTTGCCCCAAGTATTGTAATTTACAATACCCTATTGGAGGCAATGTTCCAGAGAGGTACTTATTCAGACGTTTTCTCGTTATTGAAAATTCTGGTTCTAGAAGGCTGTCAACCTAATGAGGCAACTTTTGAGATCCTTAACCGACCAATATGGAAAAGTTGGATGAAGGGATCTGTCGAGGTTGCAAAACTTCTGGAGCTTGTGGATGAATGCAAAGCTAATTGATTTGGGGTCATTGGCTCCATATAAAGCCTTTCTCTTAAGCAGTGAAGAATTATTCCAAAAAAATTAAAATCTCCAGTCGGGTATAGGATCCTTATCTCATATCAATTTAGCGGCTTAAGAACTTTTATCTTTATTTTATTTGGTTATTTGTTGTATCGATTTGAAGATAGAATAATTGTAAAAAGTTTTAATGCATCTAGTTCAAACTTTCCATTCTATCCCCTATTTGCTTTGTTTTAATGCTTAGTTTGTGCATAACATAGATCAGAAACCGTTTTTGTTGCAAGTAAATCAAATGCATCTACAGTTTATTCCATCGCCTTCAAGAGTAGGTCAGAAACTGTTGTAAGGTCAATTTAAGTAGATAGTGTATTCCATTATCCTTAGTCATCACTTCAAGGTATTTCTCAGAGGTGAAAAATCCCTGAAATTTTTCAACAGTTTTTCTGGCATTCAGTGCAATTTTTTTCCTTGGCCATTCTGGGTAATAATGTCACTGGTTTTTTGCTGTTATTTTTTAATCCATTCTATTTATTTGCTCATTCTAACTGGGTTATGCTGTTCAGTGAAATCATAACCTTGTTTGTTTTTTAAAAAACAATTTTTATAATATTTAAAAGAAATCATAATCTGATTGAAGCTTCACAAATAGATTATTCTGTGGTAGTTGTTTCTACTTGGTTGCCTTTAGATTCTAAAATGTTTATTTGGTTGTTTGCTTTCAGGCGGAAATTCAGCGTAATCTTCAGAAACGAAGAGGTCATGGACTGCTATCTATACTTCAGCCGAAATTCAGTGGTGTACTAGGTAAAGCCCTTGTGATGCGTAGTTTTCTTCTGCTTTCCGTACTTGGTTATTTTTCTTCTTTTTGCTCAGTTGAGATGCTCTTGATTCTCTTGCTTTAGTAAATATCCCAGAAATTAACAACAGTTCGTTTAAGTATATTTAGCCATGAATTTCAAGATTTGTTATTTCAATGTTTTTGGTTAGATTTACAATAATGACATTGAATTGTGTCCCTGATATACTAAAGGAATGATGCACTAGAGCCATTTCAAACTCGTTTGGATTGAATTAGATCAATACATTAAAGACAACAATAATTTATCTTCACTTATTTGGGGTTCCGTGTTGTGTTACTTTCTCATAAACAACTACTGTTTTTCTGTATAACATGTCTAACATTGGTACTTGTTAATGTACCATTATTTAGATCACTGTTTAGAAAACAGTTCTGGAGCAAGCAATAGCCGATATGAGCTTCAGGGAAAATATGTGTTTCCTGGCACGTGAGATTGCAACCCAGCTGGAAGGGAAAAGTGTGTCTTGTTGGAAAGGGCAATGGCTGGGCATCTGGGTAGTGTCTTATCTTCTATGGGGAAGTGGAGAATGAGACTTGAAGTTCCTAGAGCTGACGTTGCTGAGATGCTTCCCCTAGCCAGACTTGTTTCTCGAAGTACAGATCCTGCTGTTCATTCAAGATCAAAGGTTGCATCCCATTTAAATAAGTTGGAAATAGTATATCTAACAATTGTCTCTTTTCAGTCTAGCCCAAAGCATTAACGTTGTCATTTAAATAGCATTTAAGTGTTATACCATTCTCATTCCTTCCCCCGCTGCCCATGCTTCTTTAATAGTTAGTAAGTTAGGAGAATGCCATTCATATAGCCTTATAATTGGAAAAAAAATATCAAATGTATCATGTATTTTTCCATAATACGTTACTCCAAATATAGGAGTGATGGTTCACATGTTTTCAAATAACTAAAAGAAAACATGAAAACAATTCCTTGTGGCTCACATAGTTTTGACTCTATTGAAAGATGCATGCTTGTTATGCATTTTAATTATCTGATTGTAGATTTTTTACTTATCAAAAGTAATTCAAAAAATGAAAAAAAAACCTGATTCTCCATGTTTGTGTGAAATTTGCAGGCAGAATCGCTTTATTCAAAGTTTGCAGTCAGTGGGATTATATGTTGAAAGCCTTAAAGAACTACTTGAGGTACTTTATTGATGAAACACCATCGGATCATTTTTATTTGAAGCTCTAGTGATGCATATCACTAGGTGCACATGAAATTATCTGATGATGCCTTTATGTAAATTTCTTTTCTGTTTCCAGTGATGAGATAATCCGAGGACATTATGTATTTGTGATTGTCATTAATCCATTATTTCAGGTTATGCGGCGACACTATACTCCATTAAATGAAGTTATTCTAGAAGACATCTTCCAGGTTTAACTTAGCATGGGTCTTGTGATGCAAGTGGTGGTGTCGGCGATGGGGATACAATTGTACGTATCCTTCCAATCCTTGCATCAAATATCATCCAATACCTTTGTGTCTAGAGAATTCACTTATGAATATCAAAATTTCAAAGGGATGGATACTGATTTTTTGGGACACAAATAATAGTAGATTGAATGAGGTTTCTCTGAGATAATAAGCATAACTCTTGCTAGTCGAACTTAGGAAATGTATTAGTTAGAGCTGGACTACATAGCAGCCATGGTTACCTTTTGGTTCTTGGCATGTAGGCTTTGTCGTCTACTAATTGGTTTTATCATTATCTCTTTCGTCAAGCAGAATTTGATTTTCATGGGGAGGTTTGGGAGTGCGGAACCTTCAGGTGACTCAGCGTGTTCTGGCAGTTGGTGCAAACGGCAGCGACGATGGTTTGCGCCTGGAAAAGATGTTTATTCGAAAAGATAATGCCACAATTCATGCAGATGGGACTATTGTTAGGGTCTAAAACGAATCTTCACTTTGTTGTTGTAAGTTTTCTTATCTTTGGTTCATTATCTTTGTTTTGTTTGAGATCTTAAAATTTTAAAAAGGTTCTGTGGGCCTCCCATTCCTTGGAGAGACCTTTGAGTTGCTCATTCCTAGCTACTCTCTTGACCTTAAACCATTCATCAAAAGAAGGATTCAGAGGGACACCAACTATATATCTTCATATACTAATTAGTACTATTAATTTGATTGTAAATTTCCATAATCATTATCAAATTAATCTAATTTGGTTTACATCAATTGCCAAACTTTTTTTTTTCTGCAAAATATTTAGTTTTTCATTTTGTGTGGTTGTGAAATACGTCGTCATCATCTAAAGTATAATTAATGTATGCCTTTTTTTTTTTCCATTCAATATAATTTATGCATGTACGTGGGATTTGTATATGTCCACATTTTGATCACCCTTCGAGTGTGTTTAGGTGAGGAGTTTTATCACAAAAAATTTCGGTATAATTAAGGAGAGTTGCTCTTAATATATTCAGTTTTAGACAGTCTCTACCCTGTCCTACCAACAGATTTGTGCAGCACAACTCTGAATTAGTAAATTGTACTAAGCTTGTTTTCCCCCTTCCCATTCCTAACTTCAGTATATGTATGATTCATTTCTGCACATACTGTGTAATTTGTGAATCAGAGCGGACTCGATTAACAGTGTCTGACTCGCCAAAATAACCATGGAAAACTAAGACCATCAGGGTTTGTATGCATATACAGATTGGATGAAATGAATTATTTGATCAAAGGAAAAGGAGAATAGATTGGAAAGCATGGAAACTAGCAAATTGCGGCTTTCCTTTATGCTGAATAAATTTTTAAAATTTTGAATCTGATAAATTAACAATCCCATCAACTCAAGTTTCTTTATTTGCCATTCTTAAACACACTGATTTCAAAATTCCATCATCACACGCGCAATCAGGTCAAGCATGAGATGTAAAAACTGAGAATGTAACGATCATTGAGAAAATGTGAAATGAGTTTGCTTCATACAATTACAAGTTAATAGTTTCAAGGACCATATACAATTACAAGAAGCTAACATCAAGGTTTCTGAAGTTCCATCTTGCAGCAATGGTTTCTCTTTGATTTTATTCGAACCAAATTCGTGTTCGAGTCCTGCTGGCGTTAAGAAAGAAGTCATTTTCTTTATATGATGGTTAATGTGTTCATGTTAGAATCTCCTTCGACTTCTATTCTCTTGAGATTTAGTCTTTGTGCCCAAATAAGGGCTTGCTTTAAAGCTAGTGCCAATGCTTGTAGAACTGAAGAATATCCAATCGGGAATGCTCCTGCAATTAAAGGCCTCGCCATTGTATTTCTAATGATAAATCATGCAGGATAATTACCATTAGGGATTACAGAACCATCAAAATTTATTTTAACGTAATTGTCGTTAGGTGGACTCCACCAACCATAAGCTTTTGCATTTTTATGCTTCCATTTCTTAAATAAAATATTATTATGATACCAATAGTGAGTTAGAAAAGTGTTGATACGTGAAACAACTTCATGAATAGAAGGTGTTTTATTTTGAAATAAATTTTCACTTGTAAGTAGGGCCTTCGTTTTGGCATTGCCTCGAGCCACCAAAATCTCAGAGCCAGCCCTGGTCAAATAGAACTCCCTCCATACATATATATACTTCAAGGCATCAAAATTTTTTGAAGTTGAAGTTATATGCTAACTAAAGGGCAAGTGGCATTGTACAATTGTTCAAAATGGTCAACATCCTTTTCTTTTTTCCTAAAATCATAAAAGAAACAAAACATCATGTAACAATTATTCCTAGAATTTCAAACACCGAATCTCAGAATTATTCCTATAAGAGTGCAAATAACTACATGAGCAAAAGATTTGCTTCCTTGCTATAGATTTTCAAGATCAAGGCTCCTATTTTATTTTGTTTCCTTTCTACACTCATTTTCCTCATGCTTTTTACAAACGTGGGCAAGTAACTTTAATCCATTTGAAGCTCATACATGTGTGAGAAGAAAATTAGATTTTGGTTCTTCATGCATATTCTTTATAGACAGAGTTTGTGAAGGCTTAATAGTAGTATTTAAGAGCATTTTCCAAAGATGTACTTGAAATTTACACGTAATGACCAAAATACATATCAGTGACGGATCCAGAATTTTTTCGGGGAGGTGCAATATTAACCAAAATACATATCAACTAGTCAATATCTTCAATATCAGTAGCAGACTCTCATACTAACCAAAATCAATATCAATTAATTTAACTAAAATAAACATCAATTAATCAAATCAAAATTTATATCAAATTATAAATTAATCTAACTAATCATAATTGATCATATTGAGTCATGCGTAGCATAGTCTCTTCATGCTCGAGTTTGCTCTAGTTTAACAATGAATTACATTCTAACTTACTTTGGAAACTTGATCAATATAATATTTTCTTTCTTAACACAAGACTTGATCGATATAATTAATACAATTCAGATTTTATATGGACTTGGAGTTAGATTACATGTGATGGGATCAATGATCTTTTATTGCACTAGGTTAGGTTAGGTTTCTTCTCTCTTTTTTCATTTTTCATTTTTTTTTCATGTACGCTAAGGATTAAAGTTGTCTCTTTTTTCTTTGTAGGAGGTTAGGTGATTAGGTTTCCTTTTTTTTTTTTTAATACGAATTTTTTATACCCTGTACGTTAAGACTAATGAATATTGCAGGTTTCTTTTCTTCAACTTTTTTCCTGGTCCAAAATGCCGTTATTTTGGCCAGGAATTAAAACAACAAAATTTCCTCGTACATCAAAACAAAAGTTCATCTTCACTGAGTCTGATGAGGCATTTTGTCAAACAGGTGGAGGGCACACCACAGACTGTGCGAAAGGGGCAAATCTCCATGGCTTTCACCATTGAGGGGAGGTGCGCCTACACAGGTCCGCCACTGTCCCCAATGCCTTGTATCGCTAATTATAAAATTAAATATAAAAATATATCATTTTTTTTATTAGTGATATTTGAGGAGGGAAAAATCAAACTTAGGACCTCGAGTCGGGTGCATGAGGTAAATGCTTTTAACTATTTGAGCTATAAACTCCTTGTCTTAATCGTCTTTCTAAATACGCTCATTTGTGAATGTATCATCTGGCACACAAGAATAGAAGGCCCACCCAATTGAGAGGAGGCATTCCCCCGTCTAGGGACCAGCCCAAATTTTTATTATCTTATTTAGTTGTATGTTATGTATACTATATTGTATATTATATATACATTAATCTAGTTTTAGTAATACTATGTATAATTCTTGATGTTATAGGTTACTTGTGTTCCCAAAGATATATAGGGCCAACACTGAATTTCCCCTCACCCGTTTTAGTACATATAATAATGTATAGTTTTTATAAATTTTTTTTTTTTTTCGGAACAAGAAGAGAGTTCATTCATACATACATAGAGCCAATTATAGAGAATGCCATTACAAACCCTCTAAACAAGGAATATGTGAAGAAGAATAATCATTCTTATACTTATGTGAATAATAAGTGAAGAAAACAATAATCACAAAGAATATGTGAAGAAGAATAATCATTCTTATACTTATGGCCCTACTATTAATGAAAACTTTTTTGTTGTTGCTGAATTTCTCACTCCCATTTTGTTCACTTACAATCTCTCCTCATAATTGGACTTATGCCAAATTTTCTATACTGAAAATCCTACCAAATCGGCCAAACCGGACCGATTCTGGCGAGTTGGTCTTGTTTTTTAATTAACATTATTGAAATCGACAAGAGAACTGACCGAAGCAGGACCACCACTATATTGTTGCCTAATAATTGCAAAAATTTGGTGCGCACTAGGGACTCAAACCTTGGCTATGTTGTTAGTATAATGCTCAAATACCATTAGACTGATCCTTCTTCTATAAAGTTCGTATAATAATAGTATTTATTACTTTTTCAAAGAACTAAAAACATTTTTTTTTAAAAGTTAGGGTTTCTATATATTTCTTCTGGGAGCATTTTTACTCATCACCCTTAACGAGAGGTGTACCCTCACCACCACCTCCAAAGGACGACATGTGTCGTATCATTAATCTTAGTTAACTTTTATGTGGAAATATGAAAAAACAAATAAATAAGGGGCCCACAGCCTTCTCTCCCCTTCCTTCCTCCTTTTCCCCGTCCTTTTTTTTTTTCCTTTTCTTTCTTTCAGCCTCTCACGACCCAGTCTCTCTTCCTTCCTCCTTTTCCCCTTCCTTTTTTTTTCTTTTCTTTCTTTCAGCCTCTTCCGACCCATTCCTCTCTGTCTCAGTCCACTGCCATCGATGCTCACCAGACCACACCGATTTCTCAGCCTATTGATTGTAGTTGGTCTTGCATCTCTTCAGTGCGACGGCGGTATCCGAAAATGCTACGCCGATGACATCTAGTTTAGTGGTCGGCAGCTCTTCGAAGGCACGGTTATCGAACCACCCAGCCCTACTTTTTACTATAACATAAAATGTCAAACAAATGAGTATAAGTAGACAAAAGATGAGTAGAAAAGGGGATGTGACATTGAGATTCAAATCAGAGACCAGTCATTTACAAGTAAATGTGGTCATTCTTCTTTCACCTAGTACTTTATAAGTAATGGTTCTATTGGTCCAAGATGAGTATACAATCAAATTTTGTGTCGCGCTCCTAAATATAAAATTTTAAGTCTGCCATGACTAGGAATATGGAATCCTTCTTAGTATTGAATGAATTGAAATATATTAATGAAAAGAACAAGGGCCAATTTGGGATGCTTCATTAGAGCACTTCCACCCATTTGTCATGATAATTTTTTTTATGCATTCCCATCCATTGCCATTGCAACCCAAGGGCAACTACTATTCACATGAGATATGAGGAGAGGAATTTGTATGGATTTTGGTGTGGGAAGTGAAGAACATGGCTAGGTATTTATAGAAAAAAAAATTTTGATTTTTTTTCTTCAATTGTTTGGGTATTTAAATTGGTCCCTGATGTCTGCTTGCCCATACAACAGCCCAGGCAAGGCTTGCCCAGTTTCATGGGGTCCACTTCTTGCCATGTCAATTTTTCCTTGGTGGGGGTTGTTTTTGGAGCCTAGGCCCCATTTTTCCATGGCAAAAGGAGATGGGTGGAAGTGCTCATATGGTTATAAGTGCTTATTCTAGAAGTGTTTCTATTAGAAGAACATCAAAGAAAAATTTAATCATTTTGACCGTGAAAAAGCACTTGGAAGTGAT